TTTTATTATAATTTTTTTATTATTTTTAGTTAATTTTTAATTGTCATTGTTTAAATTTAATTTTTAGAAAACTTATTGCTAAAAAGCAAACAAACTTTTGTCTTTCGAAAGACTGTGGTGAGTTGAAAGTTAATTACCAGAATTGCCCTGTAAATGTATCAGCAGTCGAACTTCTTAGTGCCAAGAATTCATCTAAGAACGAGTTAGCGTTTCTTCGGAAAATTTATCATATTTTGGGCTATCTCGGTTAGGGAATTATCGTAGGGATACAAAAGATCCGCTTAATCGCAGTCTTCCTTGTTCTTCTACATCCAATTTTTTAACTAACTAACGATTTTATAACCAACATTTTATGTTCCTCAGCATTATTTCTTTTGCCATAAGCTCCAATGTCAAAAATCAGTAAATGCAAATTTTTTGAAAAAAAAACATACAACACTCCTATGTTCTTTCAAATGTCAAACACAGCATATTTTATTTAGCTAAATGTCGCAGCCACGCCAATGAATTGTATATTTGTACGCCCATCGTTCTGCTGTTTCAGTGAACCAGCTGTCACTTGCGTCTTCTTGAGACATTAAACTTTTGCCGTTCAACATTAAAAACATATGCAACATCATTGGCTCGCAAGTAATAGTTGCATATATTGCGCTAAGTTATTTACAATTAAACCTACATACATACAAATTTCTCTTTGCTTGTATGTGAAACCAATTGCAGTCACACTTGTAATATAATTGCCCGTTCCATAGTTGAATCCTCTCCTCATCACCAGCCGCTCGACAGTTTATCTGTCTAAATATGTATATACAGATATTTGTATGGCCATGTCTGCATCCAAATTGTCCCCAGGGTAGGTAAATTTGATTTATGACTTATTATGCGTCTTATGTCCCTTTCATAATTTAATTATTCGCACATGCAATGCGACAGCAAGGCTGCTAGGCAGTCAGCCAGCCAGCGAACGATGAATGGTGTTAGACAGAACTAAATATGTATGTATGTTTGTATGTGTAAATATGTGTGTGCGAATTGTGAGTGGGTGTGGTTATGCATTTGTGTGAGTGGCTTAGCTATTTATGGCCACCAAATTGCATTCTGACATGCAATGTTGCAACTTTTGTAGGCGATTCGTACGTTGCCTATGCCAGGGCGTTCAGCCAGATGGATGTGAGTGAAGTGATAAACATACTGATGTGCATCTCAATATGTAAATGTATGTATGTCCATCTGTACATAGATGTGGGCAGTGAAAAGTCAGTTCCATTGGCTTATGTAATTTTTTTGTTTTGCTTATACTTGGCAACAATTTGCAAACGCATGCGTTCTAAGTTGGCTGCCAGTAGCATGGATGTTAATATGTATGCATATTAGGGTGGTCAAAAAAAAGCATGTGTAAAGTTGGAATTTGTATGCTCTCACCCCCTACGATTCTAATCTAAATAAAAAATCATTAGTAATAAAAAATTGTTAAGTAAACAACTGCATATTTTTATTGAAAGTCTCCTGAAGAGAAGCTGAGCTTTCCGATCGAAAAGTATTAATTTTCATGAATTCTATGCCATTTCAACGAAAAGTTGTTTTTCCCCCACATAAAATACATGGACAACTTTGAGCGCCTTCAGTGACATCTAAAAATTTTTTGATTTCAAAAAAAAATAGGGGTATACTTTTTTTACTCTTTTTGTACCACCCTAATGCATATACGTATACTACATACATACGTATATTACCATTTATGCGAAGAATTGCCGAGTTGGCATTTGAAGGTCGCAGCTGAAGTAGTTTACGCACCAAATGCAATTTAAAACATGAAAATTTTGGCAACAACAACAACAACAACAAGAAAGAAGATGCAACAACCAGCAATGATGCATGCCACAACATAATCAACTACTCAAGCATTACAATTGCCCGAGTGCATTTGTTGCTCGACGAAAAGTGCAAAAAAAAAAACATTTGTTGTAGTAGCAACAACAAAGGCAAAGGCGGCAACAATGTATGTACGTATGTTTGTAGCACTGCAAATTTTGTAATTAAAATCTGTTTTAGTTGTTGCTTGGTAAATGTTCTAGCTCGCCGTACAATTGCCGCCTCTGCTGCTGCTGTTGCTGGTGGTGGTGGTGGTGCTGCTGCTGCTGTGACGCAAACAAATGAAATGTACAATGGATTTTCGCATTGTCACTGTTCCTAGCGAATTGTTTGGTGGCGGTGTGCGCGCGGCTGTGGGTGTACTTATAGCAAATTAAATGCGTTGCATGAAAACGAAATGAATTATTGAGCAATTGTCGCTTTGCTAATGTCTGTGTCCTTGCATGCGTGTACATACTTACATATGTGTTAATTTACATTCCTTCGGCTGCGAAACAATTGCTTTTGGAAATTGCTAGATGTAAATTGCCAGTGACAATTTGGTCAGCTAATTTGATTCATCTGAAATCTTAACTAATAAAGCAAATTCGGCCAAATGTAACGCACATTTGTTCCCTAAAGTATCGTTTTAAATGTAGTTTCAATACTAGGACAAGATTCTGATTTGGTTTTATTAGCAGTTTTAGGTTATCAATCAGTTTTTTGTTGATAATAATTGACAATAGTACAAAAGTGATGGATTTATAACTTAAAGTCTCTTAACTGAACAATCAGTTAAATATATAGGCGCATATGTAGTAGCGCTCCGCTCTTGGTGGCGTTTGGCACCACTCCCACGGCAGTGATAAAAAAATGCTAAACCTGTATTCTATAGACGTAATGAGAAGAATCAACGGAGAAATCGGCATTGAAACTAACAGGGAAATTCTAGCAATTATCTTGAAAGCTCTTTTCAGTCTTTCGAAAGTCTAATTGAAAGATCTGCAAAAGAGGAGGTCTCAGCGTTTTTCTAATTCCCTTGTAGCAATAAGTTTTCGAAAAATGTAATTGAATTAAAAAATACAAGTATTTAATTTTAGTACAACAAAAACTAGAAAATTTAAAGAAAGTTAAATTAAAAAAAAATCAATTGACAAAAAGAAAAAAATATATAAATTAACACCCAAATTCATAAAAACTAAAGAAGACTTTAACTGCTTTATGAATCGAAAATTTATATGAAAATGTCACTTTATAGAACTCTTTAAACCTATTTTATTTTTTATGAATTAAAAATAACAAAAAATGTGTGACTAAAAATTAAAAAAAAATATGTTTCTTTCTAAAGCGATGGAATCTCAAATTTAAATGAATATTTGTTTGAAAAGAAAAAAATGTACGTAAGAAAAGAATACAAACATGTTTATAAAAACTAGAAAATTTAAAGGAAGTTAAATTAAAAAAAAAAAATTCAATTGAAAAAAATAAAAAAATTTATAAATTAACACCCGAATTCATAAAGCATAAAGAAGACTTTAACTGCTTTATAAATAGAAAATTTATATGAAAATGTCACTTTATAGAACTCTAAAAATTAAAAGAATATTTATTTAAAAAGAAAGAAATGTACTTAAGACAAGAATACAAACATGTTTCTAAAAACTAATTCAAATTAAAAAAATATTTATTTTTCAAACAATAAAATATAAATTTTTGTTTTATTAGGTAATAAAAAAATTCAATATAAAAAAGTAAAACAAGTTTCTAAAAAATAAAAAATTCTAAAAATACAAGTATTATTATTTTTTTTAAGCAATAAAATCTGGGAATGAAAACCAAATTTAATTAAAAAAATAAAAAAAAAATATTGAAAAAATCCGCTGCCCGAGGAGTCGATATAGGATCGCTCGAATGGAACGCCGGTGCTTTGCTCACTAGACCATTTTCGACTGCTGGAGCAGGGCGAGCAAAATTATATACAAGTGCGTTGTGTCAAAAGAGCTTTTCACCATGAAAGCTATAAAGGGGACTACGACTTTCGTGCCAGAATAAACAAAATCTTTCAAACTACCTTGCCTGCTGTTTTTCAATTGTCTTACCAAAGATTTTCAAATATCTTAGACAGAATTGCCTTGCAAAGGTAAATTTTTCTTAATACAAAAAAAGAAAAAAAACTAAATTGCTAAAAATCTAACGAAATTAAAAAAAATGTTTTAAACAATGAAACTTAAAAATTTCAAGAAAACGTGTTTAAAAAGAAAAAAATTACTTACAAAGAATACAAAAATGATTCTAAAAATTAAGTGAAAAAAAATATTTTTATACAATAAAATATAAAAATTAAATTAGAAGACAAAAAATCAGTATACGAAAATAAAATAAGTTTTACAAAACAAAATATTTCATAAATACATATATTTTCTTCTTTTAAAAACAATAAAATCTTAAAATGAAAATAACATTTAATAAAAAAAGACAAAAAATAAAGCTATCTTACCTGATGTCTTTCGATTCTCTTAACTACAAAAGACTTTCGACTGTCTTAGTCAGAATTGCCCTGTAAAAATAAATTACAGTTTACACAACGATCATTTGGATAAATAAATTTACACGAACTAATCGGTAATTCATACCGAAAGAAATATTTGATTTTTATTTCTTTTGTTTTCTTAAAAATATCATTTTGCAGACAACAAACTGTCTTTTGCACTGGCATGACATTTACCATTAGTGCAACCTGGACCAATTTGTAGATATATGCCATTTAAGTAAAAAAACCGTATAAAAATTTTGAAATTGAAAAAGCAGGTGTTTACCAAATATGTTCGTTATACGTTTGCAATAACTTGTTTTCTTGCTGTTGCATTAAAGTAACCCAATTAGCGGTAATAGAAAAATGTTCAAAAGAAAATAACAGACAAGGTCACAAATATTCAAGATTGACTTGCTACACACGATCGCATTTGTGGGTCTATGCTGTGCCACCCTCAAATGCGCAGTCTCACATTTCTAAATTCACTTGACTGAAATCGTATAAAAGCAACATGCTACAACCAAGACAGTATCAGTCGCCGATCGATCAATCTACTGCAAACATTACAGCACCAATTTCAATTAAAAGCAAACAAACAATCAACCAATTCATAGAAATGGCTTTCAAATTTGTTGTACTCTCAGCTCTATTGGCCGTTGCCAACGCCGGTGTGTTGCAGCCCGTCACCTACGCCCACTACGCTAATCCCGCCGTCGATGCCGTCGCCTCCAGCCACCAGAACGTCGTACGTAATTTCGATGGCACTGTCTCACAGTACTCGAAGACCATTGAAACTCCCTACTCCAGCATTCACAAATCGGATACTCGCGTCAGCAATAATGTCTACACACCTGCTCTGGCTAAGACTGTCACTTACTCAGCAGCGCCTGCTGTAGCTAAAACTGTCTATGCTGCTCCAGCTCCAACCGCTTACTATGCACACTCCGCTCCAGTTGCTAAAACTGTAGCCTATGCGGCGCCAGCTGTGGCCAAGACTGTCACCTACGCTGCACCTGCTCCTGAGTATCAACATGAGGTACCTGTTGCCAAAACTGTGACGTATGCTGCCCCGGCTGTTGCGAAGACTGTGTCCTACGCTGCTCCTGCTCCTCTTTACCATCATGCCGCACCTGCCGCAGTGCATTACTCTCCAGCTGAGACTTCCTCTCACATGAGCTTCGATGGTTTCGGCACCCACTGGGGTTGGTAAATAAATTCGCTGCATATATTTGTGATGCAATCAAATTACTTAGATTGAAAATTGTTACTTTTTACTAGTTGTTGTTGAATAAATTGTTTTCTACCGAACTTAAGCATAAAAATTAAAAAAAAATCGTTGTGTTTTAGCAAATCAATGCCCCCTTAATGGATTATAGTGTATACATTAATGCAGTATCCGAGAGAAACTTTAGTATGGAACCGAAATCTACAGATTTCATTTCGCCTTTGGTTATCAAATGTTCTTCCAGGTGCCTTTTGCGTTTATGCATCAGTGCAGGACATTCTTCTAAGATGTGCTGTGCACTCCCGTTTTCCATCCTGCAAAATCTGCATCGCTCATGCGAGTAAATTCCCAGTTTAGTTAGTTCAGCCTGCTGTGTCCGGTCAAGATTCCTGTAACAATTCTTAAGTTATTCTTTGATAAGCTCATACATTCCTTGAAGCGTTTTAGGTTATATATTCCTAAAAGTGCTTTGGACTGCTCTAGACCTGGTAGATTATCCCAGTAGCGATTCCTCTGAGCCTCTTCCTCTAGCCGAACTAGTTCAGAGAGTGCCCCTTTTCCCAAGCCGCAGAAAGGCTGTGGGGCGGTGAAAGGGGTTGATGCACCTTTCTTCGCTAGTTTATCGGCAATCTCGTTTCCTTTAATACCAATAAGGCCCGAAATCCAGAGAGCCCAAATCTGATTTTACAGGCAAAGAGTATTCAGCTTACCGAGGCACTCCATCACCAGTTTAGATGTTATGGTGAGATCTGAGGGCCTTGATAGCCGCTTGGCTGTCAGTCAAGATCGCGATGTTAGGATTCCGGTAGTTTCGCTTGATATTAAAGTCCGCGCATCTTTCTATGGTGTATGTTTCAGCCTGGAAAATATACATATGTTTTTCCATGGGTTCCGAGTATCTTAATCTCGGTCCAACTACTCCTACCCCGGTACCCTCGTCGGTCAATGAGCCATCAGTATACCAAGTAATCATGTTTTGGTTTATCCGATATGTCTCGGATATGCCTGACCAGCTCTTCTTATTACTCAGATCAGTCTTAAACCTTTTTGTAAAGCTTATCCTCGGATGCATAGTATCCCTCGGTATTGCAATTTCAGGGAACTTTTTCGTAAGACTACGCAACTTCCCCCGACTAAGACACGCTGCTGCCCCAATATTGGCTGCAGTAAAGCTCTTTTCGCCTGAATCTGTATGTGAGAGGGGTAAGATCTAAAACAACCTCCAAGGATGCGGTTGGACAAGTTCTCATGGCTCCCGTTAGGCATACGCATGCCAGCCTTTGTATCTTGGAGAGCGCTTTGATTGCTCCAAGTTGTGAAGTTCTATCGGCCCAAACTATGGCTCCATAAGCTATCATGGGTCGTACTATTGTCGTGTAGATCCATCTTAGTATCTTTGGTGTGCAGCCCCAACTCTTTCCTGCCATAGACCTAAACGTCATAAATGATCTTACAGCTTTCTTCGCAGTTTCTGCCACGTGTGCTTTCCAGAGTAGTTTTTTGTCTAGTAATACTCCAAGGAATTTAACCTCTTTTTGGTACATAATGTTGGTTCCATCTAGCCTTATGGCTTTTAGACTGTCAAGTTTTTATTTCCTTGAGAATGGTACTGTAGTGATTTTTGCCCTGCATATTATTACAATGTCGTCGGCGTACCTCTGGAAAGTTAGTCCAGTATTTGTTAGCTCTTGGAGCAGTGTGGATGCCGAACTTAAAAGGTTTTTCACTTAAGCCTGCCCTTAACCTCTCATTAAATGTAACTGGAACTTTTAAACGGGTGCAACCCCTTCAAAAATATTTAAAAAATAAAGCTTCAAAATTTATTAAGAAATAAACTCTACTTAAACTTGTCTCATTTTACAGCCATAAAAATACATTTCATTCAACTTAATAAAATTTCTTTAGAGTTTCTAAACAGGTGGCAACCATCTTCTAAATTATTTTTGAATCTCTCTCGTTCGACACCTATATTTAAATGTTTCATTTATCTGGTTATTTAAGTTGATTTTGAATATCTAACCAGATGGAAATCTTCGTCAAAAATATTTCCAAAACAAACCTTTCTTAAACTTTTCTCGTTTGACACCCATATCAAAATACTTAACTTTAACTTATTAGAACTAATTTGGAGTTTCTAAAGAGGTGACAACCATCTGCAGAAATATTTTTTTAAATAAAACTTTTTTAAAACTATCTCGTTTGACACCCATATGCAAATATTTCATTTAACTAATAAAATTGATTTTGAGCTTTTAAACAGGTGGCAACCATCTTCAAAAACATTTTTGCAATCAACACGTTTTAAATCTTTCTCGTTTTACACTCATATCCAAATATTTCATATACCGTGTTCATTAAGTTTGATTCTGGCAACCATTTTAAGAATCACTTTTCAAATAAAGTTTTCTTAACCCTCTCCAGTTTGATATTCAGATAAATTTAATGCAACTTAATAATTGTGGATATTGATTTTAATATAAATAAAGTTTTCTTAACCCTCTCCAGTTTGATATTCAGATAAATTTAATGCAACTTAATAATTGTGGATATTGATTTTAATATTTTCACAAGGTGGCAACACACTTTTATCTTGAAGTACATCGTTTGAGAATCCTCCTAAAATAATATTTTCGGAACAGATCCCGTTTGACATCCACTGTGTTGTGATGTTTTATTTCTTCTTCTTCTTATTTGGGGCTGTAATCGCCTTAACGATTTTAGCCGAAATTTTAACAGCGCGTCGACTTTACCTCTCCGTCGATTTTAAAGCCGAATTTGATAGCACGAAATAAAGCTGACTCTTTGACGCCATGTCTAAACTTGGAAAGGCTGTAGACCGCGAGCTCCAAGCTCAGTCCAAATTGGGGACAAACTCTCCGCTCTGTTTGAGACCAAACGAGGTTTTAGGCAATGCGGCTACATTTCGTAAGATTTTGTTTATTTGATGTTACAAAGCGTAATACGATCTGCAGATCTGAATCACAATGGCACCATATACAGCAAAAATATGAAGCTGCCGACGTATGATGATGATATTGGCAGACTCAATACCTGGGCTGTGACCCTGCGAGGGGGTTTAATTGTGGTTTCAGAAAAGTGTACTTGTTAAAGGAACTGCTTGTTTTCAGTTTAGTCTCCGTTTGTAATTTTGTGTCCGGATTGCATATTTTCTATGATATTAAAGGGAGAATATTTTAGACCTTAACCTTGAATTTAAATTATGTAGCTTAGAGCTTTAATTGCATAAATAATGGTTTATCCAAATGCATTTGCGTAAAGTTTTGATCGCCGACAGTTTAGCAAATTGCAACTAAATGTATAGCGTTATCATATGTTTAGGGAATGTGTAGCTTAATCAGCACATGTGTATAAGAATCCATTAAGTATGTATAATGCAATCAATGCGAATTGAATTATAAAAAAGTAAGCCTATGCCCATTAACCTTAAAAACAAAAAAAAAACAACATTACAAAGTCACGGAACAATAGTTAGAAATATGAGAAGTTAACTTTGCAAATTTTGACAGCTACATACATACATATGCACATGCAAACAAATATAACGTAATATTAAGCCACGCACCTGTAAATTCTCTACATCGCGATCGTATAAAAGCAGCGCGCCACAACCAAATTGGTATCAGTAATCGATCAGTCATTTCATTGCAAGCACTCACTACAGCACCCACTTCAAGTACTTAGCTCAATCAAAAGCAAACGGACAATTAACTTATTTATAGAAATGACTTTCAAATTCGTTGTACTCTCAGCTCTGTTGGCTGTCGCCAGCGCCGGTGTGTTGCAGCCCGTCACCTACACCCACTACGCTAATCCCGCCGTCGATACCGTCGCCTCCAGTCACCAGAACGTCGTACGCAATTTCGATGGCACTGTCTCACAGTACTCGAAGACCATTGAAACTCCCTACTCCAGCGTTCACAAATCGGATACTCGCGTCAGCAATAATGTCTACACTCCTGCTGTGGCTAAAACTGTCACTTACGCAGCAGCGCCTGCTGTAGCTAAAACGGTCTATGCTGCTCCAGCTCCAACCGCTTACTATGCACACTCCGCTCCAGTCGCTAAGACCGTGACATATGCTGCTCCAGCTGTGGCCAAGACCGTTACCTACGCTGCTCCAGCACACACACCAGCTTTGTACACCCACGCCACTCCCATCGTTAGCAAGGCTGTGTATGCACCTGCTCACGCCCACTCCGTTGTTGCTGCTCCAGTCAAGACCGTGGCTTACGCTGCTCCTGCTCCAGTGTATCAACATGAAGTACCTGTTGCCAAAACTGTAACCTATGCTGCCCCAGCTGTGGCAAAGTCTGTCACCTATGCTGCTCCAGCTCCAGTTTACCACCACGAAGCTCCTGTCTATCACCATGCAGCTCCAGTTTACCACCATGCAGCTCCTGTGGCCACCACCAATATTAACCACGGATCAGCTGCGACTACATACACCCACAATGCTCCTGGCCTATCCGGTTATGGCTCCAGCCAGACAGTGCACTACTCCCCAGCTGATACCGCTTCTCACATGAGCTTCGATGGTTTCGGTACCCACTGGGGTTGGTAAACATTTTCTGCTAGATTTTGGAAACTGGAGAAGTTACTCCATTTGTTAAAAGCGAATGTTATTTACTTATATTTTAATTGTTGATTTTTGATTGTTGAGCTTTTGTTTTGAATAAAGTGTTTTGTATTGCAAATCGAATTTAAAATTTTTAAGTTTCATACGGATTAGCAAATAATTGCACCCCAGGAAGAAATTTTATTATTTTCTCTACTGGTCCAGGTTTGCGCGTGAAATTCTTCAGGGTGGTAGGAAATTGGTCAGGAAGTGCTTAATGGATTTCTCATATTCCATGTGCATCTCATGTGAGATCGTTATGTAAAACCCCAAACCAATCATCCATATAGCAAATAATACACTCCCGGCTGATCCTACCTATGTACCTGTTGTTAGTAGTTACTCTAACCCTGGGATTCAGTAATTCAGTCTCATCTCAAGTCACTAAATTTGAGATTAGCAATTAGTGACTATTTTTGTGACTTGAGATAATTTGGCTATTCAGTAGGAGAGAGTCACAAAAAGTTCACCAAAAATGTGTGGTGAAAACAAACACAGACAGTCAACCGAAAGCGTTTACGTATGCCTTTTGCCGCGCCTCCCGAAGAGTCGCAATGGCCGAGTGGTCAAAGCATTAGACGGCCGGTCAAGAGGGTCCGGGTTCGAGTACTCCTCGGGCGTAGAGGACTTTTTATTTTTTATTAGTTTTATTTTTTAATAATCTTTACATTTTAACGTTAAAAATAAATTTTTTTTTTCAATGGATTTGTATACTTATTAAAGCATTTTGGTTTATTTCCTAACGAAAATCTTATTGAACAAATTTCCTCGCTTCACATTCGCGTTTTTTTTTTTTTTAATAAAATGGAAAGCAATTAACTTTTTCTCCATATTTTTATTTTTGAGACCTGCTCTTAGCCAGCTGACAAATTAGTGACTTTTTTTGAGACTGGAGACGTGAGACAGCGTACTGAATACCAAATAGTCTCAAAATCCAAGTTCACCACCAATAGTCACTATTATTGACTAGAGACCGCTTACAGAATGCCAGGGTAAGTTCGTTAATTTTTGAGATTAAGTATGTGCTACTTCAGGGGGGCTTATGTAATCGGTTTACCAAGTTATGTCTTAGAAGCTCTCCTCTCGTCCTCTTGGTTTCCGATGTCCATTTTGGAATCACCTGTAAGGATTGGAATATTTTCATGAGATTGGAGTCTAGATACAGCAGGGAGTCTAGCATACCTGGCTGCCTAGCCATTTCTACACCTACACTGTAGGGAAGAATCACCTCCTGAAAAGATGACCTTATTAGCACTGAATAACATTGATCTAGAACTCGAAAGTGTTCAATCTAGCCTCTCCTCCCAAACTTCGGTATTTTGCGTCAGCGTGATGATTGGATGGTTTGCCTCTCGGTACTCCTCATATAACTCCATGTCTAAGTTGACCGCTGATTACCCTCACTTTATTCGATCGCCGAACGGATCCAGTAGTATAGTACTGAACCAACGAAATAGATCACAATGATCTCTTACAATGCAGCTTTGGATACTTGCATGAAGAAAATAAATCCTACCTGAAAACTTCGTGTGTGGCATCGGTGAATCCACTGAAGCCACGTCTTCTGCTTGAGAACACAGATAACTCTAAATCAGCGAAGGGCAGAGAGAGCTTTTTCTCTAGTCGCGTCTATACAAAATATATAGAAAGCTTAAAAGAGCTTTGCCCACGGGCAAGGCGGTGCCCATCTCAGCTCTAAATTCATCAGTGGAATTCCTCAGCTGTCAAGCTGCAATGGCCAATAGACCATTTAGCTTCAGCTCTCAACGTCGACAGAATCTGAGATCAAACTCCTTGAGGGAAACTCACAAGAGCCTTCAAACAGAGGTAGGAGCTAACCCTCGGCCCAATGTGGGCATTGCCCCAAATCATCCAAAGTTGTATTTTGTGCATTGGCAGCTGAGTGGAAGATCAACCTATCTTGGCAGCCCGTTCGAAACGCCCTATCTCAGTAAACTTTTCAAGAACAGCATAATTCAGAATTTGGTTGAAGATCACTCTATCTCATAATTTGATTGAAAACACCCTATCTCAAAATTTGTTTGAGGAACGACCAATTTTAGAGTTTGGTCAAAAAACGCCCTATCTCAATTGAAAATGTATTGAAAATATTTTGAGATAGGGAATTTGAACCAAACTCTGAAAGGAGGTGTTCTTCAGCCAAATTACTGGAGAGTTTTATGAGATAGGGCGTTTTTGAACTGAATAGAATTTTGGCTTAATAAAAATTCTAAACTTTATTGTAACCCTTTTTTCAATTCAGTCGGGTATATATTTATCGAAGGAGGTACGTTAGACCAACATGATCTTGAAGTATTATATACTTGGTACTCAAAAAATAAATTTTCATTCAAACCTATATCTTATGAACTCTGAACTTGGGTAAGAAATGAAAAAGCTTTAAAGAAAACACGATTTTAGATTTTTAGAGTATGGATAGGGCGGATAATTTTATTATGCCAAAATCCTATCGAAGAAATCTTACAAACCATAGGGAATGAAGCAGTTCTACTATATGATCCTTTAAATACCTTCACTTGAGTACCACCCCTAAGATACATTTTTTCCTTACCTTATCTAAATGAGGGAGCAAGTTACGGATCTTACTTGATCCCCGTATCATTAAGGAGCGTCGCAGGGTCATTGACTTAGCGACTTTAGTGGTAAAAGTAAGCAACTCCTCTGTTTGGCAAGTGAAGTGGACAGTGGGAGAGCCAGTAACAATTCATACTTCGTGTACAGGAAGGTAAAAGCACAAATAAGGTGAAAGCTCTAACCAACAAATGTCACAAATTTGGACAAAATTTGGCCGTGACAAAAATGTTTTGACTCCAGCGCTATCTGGTGGGTATTCTGGGTTTGCCAGTTCTTTTACGAACTAACTATTGCATATCTCAAATCTGGATCGAAGTGGAGCGATAAGACGAATTCCCAACAAATTTCGAATCCAGCTTCATCAAGGAAAACATTCTCACCAAAAATTATTATTCCTATCAAATGACTAACATTCTCTCGAATTTGAGCTATGTAAATCGTAACGTAGCGATAAATTAAAAAAAAATTGGGAAAAATATTTACGTTGCTCAGAAAACAAATAAACATTTCGTAGCAACAATACATTCTGCCATGTAAATCCCATTGCCGCGAGTAAGCGAAATATCGTGAGGATTATTTTATTTATTGTCAAAACCAAATCCACAAAAAGCCTTCACCTTCCTTAGTTGCATATTCTCTAAAAAATGTGCTGACCAACGACCAAACAGCCAAATCACCAAATCAAGTAAATCTCAAAAGTAACCACAAATTGAAATATAAAACTGATACAATAAAATTTATTTGCACAACTAACAATAGAAATAACATTATACACACCGGTCTAATATGTATGTATGTACATATTATGGAGCATAAGTCAAGTACGTCACGACAGATATGAATGCGTCAATCAAAAACGCAACCAAAACAATGCTTAATGTGGTTTATCTGCACAAAAAAAGTAAATATTAAAAAAAATGCAAATAAAAACAGTACTCGTAAAAGTAACACTCACTCAATGTGTCTAGGTAAATATGGAGCAAAGCGCGCCGAAAGCAAATTAAGAAATACAAATCATATGAAATGGTGCGTTAAGTACCTATACGCTTATCAAGTGGTAATGTGGCGCATGCGCAGAACCGGCTGGCTGTTAGGCAGACTACGAAAAAAATGCGCTGTCATATACAAACAGGAAAGGTGCAGTTAATTAGGGCGATGGAGGCGGAAAGCAAATTGGAACCTGTCTTTTCCTATTTACTTTTTGAGTGAGGGCTGCGAAGACGCCGACCTTCACAAGCTGTGGGTGTTTTACATTTTTTTTTGCACGGCTATCTGTCATACAGTTTTTTTTGCGAATTTCTGTTATAAATACGTTTTTAGTAGAAACAGAACTGCAATTGTATAACCTGTAGGAAAATCTTAATGCAGCGCTGGAGTTTCTAAAGAGGAACGGATAGAGAAGCAATGGCGGAACTGATTGCGGACCGTTAATGCAATCTTTATCGAATTGGCATAAGCCATAATTAATAAAATACACTTAGTATATATTTTATGCATTGTACTGTTGGTAAAATTTTAATTTCAGTTTTGCTAGTCTCTCTCGACCTAAGAATTTTCACCCAATTTTGTTCTCACCGGTTGCGCTGCGAGTATCGTTCTTGCTACTCATTGCTTTAATTTTTTCCAATTTTGAAGGAATTGGTGATACACTAACAGGGTAATTATGGGCACTGTCTTTCAACTCACCATAGCCTTTCGAAAGACAATTTTTAATTATGGAAAATATCTTGAAAGCTCTGTCTTTCTAGCGACTAATTGAAAGATCTGCTAACGAGAAGGTCTTAGCGATGTTCTAATTGCTTTGCAGCAATAAGTTTTCTTAAAATTTAATTTAATAAAAAAAACATAAATATAAGTATACACTTTTGTTTTTAAAGTAGCAAAATCTAAAATTATAAAAAAACTGGAAAAAACCAATTAAAAAAAAAAAAAAAAAAAAAAAAAAAAAAAAACATTTTTTCTGTAAAAAAAACAATAAAAAATAGAAAAAGGTTTCTAAAAATTAAATGAAATTAATAATCATATATATTTTTTCCTTTTAAAACAACAAAATCTTAAATTATATGAAAACTCAAAAAATTAAATTAAAAGTAAGAAAAAATATCATAAGCTCCTAAAAATTAAATATGAAATTTAAAAATGTTTCCTTTTTAAAATAACAAAATCTAAAAGTTAAAAGAAGATTTAATCAGAGAAAAGAAAAAATTATTAAGTTTAAAATAAAATAACTTTAAAAAAAATATTTTTCATTTTAAAACAATAAAATGTAAAAGAACAAGGATATAAAATAAGTTTTCATAAATTAACTTAAATTAAAAAATTATATATTTTTCTGCTCAAAACAATAAAAA